GGGACCTTCATCTCCTCCATGGCCGAAATCCAGGCCGTCATTTCTATCCTGCTACTAACGGTGGCGGCTACTAGAAAAAAACCGAACTGGATCACCAATAGGGCGGAATGGTTCCTGGGCCGAGTCTAACTTATTAACCGCTGTCTATACGGACATCAGTGTGGTCACTGGTCACGGATCCTGCAGAGCCCAGGGACGCGGCCATTCCACGCCTTTTGGAATCTCTGCCGGGCCACTTCTTCACGCACTTTCACTCAGTCCCCCACTCGTAGGGATGCAGTGGTTGAGGGAAAAGAAAAGGTCTGTGCTCTTGCAGCCCAGGGCCTACGAGCCTGCCCACGGGGGAGGGACAGGGACATCTCCCTCCCACGAGGGAGCTGCAGTCTGTGGGCTGGGGTGGTTCCCACCACCCACACCGGAACATTGCTCTCAGTTTTGCAGACTTAGGGACAAGTCTGTGTGCGTGCAGGAATGAAGGGGCAACTCTGTAAGGAGCATCTTACAGTTTGGTTAATAATGATCAGTTTATTTCATATCAAACCCAGTGTTGGGTGTGGTAGAGACAAAAGACAAGGCCCCTACTCTGGGTCCCCTAAGCCAGGGGATTGATGGCCTGAGCATGAGGTGGCCAGTGGCCATGAGCAGATGGGGCGTAAAGACCTGCATGATCAACCCCAGGGACACTGGGCTCACACTGGGTCATGAGAAACCATCCAGAAGGTGCCCTGCCCTGCTGGAGGGGAAACGATCAGCAGTGAGCAAAGGCCTTGGGGGAGGGTGTCTGAGCTCTTAGCCTGAGAAAGGCCCCCTGCTGCATACTCAGGGTCTAAGAGGAAACTGGCCTGGAAACATTTCGCTGATTGTCACACAGCAAGAGTCAGGGAGTTACTTCTCTTAAGAGGGAGGTGGTGGTGGTTGGGCCTTGAGGACAGTGGCCCTGGTCCTCCAGTCCCCTCCTTTCCACACAGAGTGGGGTGAAGGTAATGGTGTGTCCAGTGTGGACAATTTATGGTTTCCTCCCTCCAGAGATGGGTTTGGGAGTTACTGCTGCAGGGGTGGGGTGGGGGAGTGCTGTTGGGAGTGTTCCTCACCATCGCCAGGAAGCAGGGTCTGTGTGGTGCAGAACACGTCCCTTGGGGGGGGGCAGGAAAGAGGAGATGTGAATGTGAACCCCCACTGCCCCCAGTCCTTGAAGGCTCTGGGTAAAGCCTGAGGTCCAGATGTTCAGCAGCTGTCTTGGCCATATCCGCCCTTCTTGACCCCATATCCGCCAGGAAGCTCCTTCTGCCTGTCCTCAGCTCTGACCCCTACCTTCCACGCACCCTACTTCCTGAGCAGAGGCGGTGGTGCGGACTCAGCGCCCCTCCCGCCAGGCAGCTTCAGCTTTCCTGGGCCGGCACCACTCCCGGAGTCCAGCGACCCTGAGACCCGCCCTGCCTCAGACTGGTTCTCTCTCCCTTCCTTCCTCTCCAGGGTCAGCTCCCGGCTTCCACGGCATAAATCACAGCTACTGTAGGCAGACAGAGCTGCAGGAGGGAAAGCCTGGGCTGGGTGGAGACTGGGAGCAAAGGTCATGCCTCATGGCCAAGAGGTGGTCTGGATGCTCAGAAGTCTGTCTGGGCTGGCACTTGGGGGTTGATATGTAGGAACACAGCACCACCAATCCTGTTGCTCACTTCCCTGAACAGATGAGGAGGTGGACATAGGAGGTCCAGTGTGCAGCCCTTCTAGTGAGGGTGGGGGAAGAGGTGCCTCTCTGTTCACAGCAGAGCATGGATTCTGGGGTGCTTGGGCTCCCCAGAGTCAGGTACAGGGGCTGGTGAGCCAGGGGCCAGACCAATGAGGCCAGGAGTCCCAGGGGAACAGCACTTCAGCTCCCTGACCTCAGCCCTAGGGAATCTGGTCTCCACCCTGCCCCCAGGCTTTCCTGCTTGTCCTTGGGAGCCAGGCTTTGTAGGGCAAAGGGTCTAAGAATAGAATCCTTTCCCAGTAGCAGATTAGGGGGCTCACCCACAGCAGGAACTGCTCTTAGGGCTCTGAGAGTACCCAGGCCACCCAGAACTGTGCCTGCTGTGTCACAGGGTCCTCTGTTGCTGTACCCTCATGGACAAGCAGGGCATTGGCCCCAATCAGGGGTATCCTGGTGGTAACTCATGTGGTCTCACCCATAAATGGGTCTGCACTCCTTGCATCTAGAGGGTAACATCAGAGCTCTCCACCCTCTACCTCACTTTCTCCTCTCCTGTCAGTGACCAGGGAGCATTCCAGGAGGATACTGACCACTGACTCCCACAGGGCCCCACTCATCCCATCCCTGGACCCCAAATGCCCACTTATAAGCTCTCCAGGTGTGCTGGCCTGCTGCCAGCTCCAGAGCCCACTGGAGAGGTGGTTGGTTACAGCACAGAAGAGGTAGAAACTTTGACCAGGTGTGCTGCGGGGATGGCTGGTAGACCACTGGATCCTGAGACACTCGTTTGGCTCAGGACCAGCCCAATAAGGAGAGCAGCTCAATCTGGTTTAAAAATCCAGATAATCCAGAAAATTTGGACCTCAGCTGGGGGCAGCAAATGGAGGTAGGGAAGAGGGAGGGAAACAATTGGAGGGAATGACTGGAGGGAGGTGGGTGATTGGAGGGAGGTTTGCCACATTTAGCAAAAGCAAAGCAACTGACCAAATAATTAAAAAAAAAACCAAAAAAACCCACCAAGCCAATCAGAACCCAGTGAAGCTAAAATTTCAGTTAAGAATACTTTCTTAATTTGAAAATGCACCAAGATATTTGGGATATACTTTTACTCCAAAAATATTGGTTGTAAGGGAGCTCTGATAGCCTAGTGGCATGAAGCTGCACTGCCATCCTGAAGGTGAGCAGTTCGAATCCACCAGATGGTCCTCTGGAGAAGGGGGGGGCAATCTTCTCCTGTGCCAGTCGGATCTAACACACACACAAAAAGTTTGAGGGAGCTCTGGTGGTCTAGTGGCAGGACGCTGCACTGCAATCCCAGAGGTACGTGGTTCAAATCCACCAGATGCTCTGCTGGAGAAGGAGGGGGCAATCTCCTCCTGTACCAGTCAGATCTGATTTGACGGTACATGTAAAAATAATACAATTAAAAAAAAAGTTTGCTGTAAAGAGGGGAAGACCCTCAAGCAGGTGGACTGACAGAGTGACTACAGCAATGGACTCTCTTGTATCAGGAAATATGAGGACGGCACAGGCTAGGACAGGGTTCAGAACTGTTGTTCATAGGGTCACTATGGGTTGTACTTGGCACCTAACAACAACAACAACAACAAAGATACTATGAAAGAATCTTGATTGGGAGAGGAAGAGAATGTGGAACTGAATGAAAAATTCTCATGGATTTCAGACTTTCTGGAGCCACTGAGGCTGAGTGCACGCCAGAGCTGCTGTCCTGAGATAATTTTGTACCTCAAACCAAAATATCCCAGAAGTCTTCCTTAAACCAGACTAGAAGCTTATTTCATAGAGAATGTCTGCCTTGAACCTTGCAATTTTTAGGAGTAAAGTTGACAATAGCAGTTAAACAGATCAAAGCAGAGCTGAGGAGCAGAAGGACAGCTCAGAAAAGGAGGTGAGAGTGATTGCACACCTGAGGAATGTGCAATTATCACTGAATTGTACAATCAGAAGGCTATGTTTTTGTTGTGTATACTTTCAACAACAAAAAAAAATGCTAACAAGGTATCTGTTGTCCGTTTGAAATCCAAATGTAATTGTGTGTCCTGTATTTTGTCTGATGACCCTGGGGCAGTAAACTCCAACAATTCATTCACTTTGCCACTTGACCCCTGTCTCCTGGTCTCTAAGACAGCAGCTCCTCAGTTCTGATTCCCAGTCTTGGCAGAGTTCATTGGTGCTCACGATGCCACACACCATCCTAGCTAGGAGGCTGGGTGTCAACAAGTGGGCTTAAAGTGTCTCGTGGGGTTTACCAGTTTGCCTGAATTTAATGTCTTCATATGTCAGACTGGGGCAGCCGTAAAGGGGACTCACTGAGTCCGACCCTCCCAGGGAACTACCCATTCATCTTTGAGTTTGTTGTCTGCTGTGTAGGAGAAATGCAGAGCCACCACAGTGCCCCAGAAAAGAGGAAGGTACAGCTTGCAGACTGGTTTATGTGGGAGGGAGCCTTGGAGGAGGGCCTGAAAAAGAGGAACCCTGGCTAGGAAGGACCCACCTGGAGAAGGTCACTGTTGCTCTGGGGGCAAAGAAAAGCGGATCCAAGCAAGGTGGGGATTTCCATCTGGTGGTCACCTCCTTTGCTGGGAAAGAATAGGCAGAGGGTGAGCCAAAAGCCTGGGCCCCACCAGGATTCTACCTCTGGTAGTTCTTAGCCAAGGAGTGCTGCACAGGCCAAGGCCCCGGTGCTCTCAGGGGTAATGCTGCAGGGTTTGAGTCCCTGGGGCTACTCCCCAGCACTGGGAGTAGGGTGAGACTGAAAGAGGGTCAGCATAATCCCAGATTCCAACACCTTTACAAACTGTGGGCAATCTGAACCCTGGAGCAGCTTCTTCCTGCCCTACCTGTGCTTCTTACCAGTGTAGGGAGCTTAGGAGGCTGGGCAGGACCCTATGAAGTTCTCTGCCTGCAGGGGGAGGGGTTCCAGCTGTCCTGCATTTCAAGTCATCTCCAACTTAAAGAAGAGCAAGGTAGGTGGATGGAGTTGGGGAGGGTGGCAAGTGGGAGGTAGGTGGGTGGAGTTGAGGAGGGTGGGGCTACTGTAGGGTTTGGGGGACAGGGCAGTGACTCATAAAGCTGGCCTGCCCGCATGGGTCCTACCCCTCGTTGGCCCTGGAAAGCACAGGTCACAAAGGCCATGAGGCCGAGCCCCCGGACCGGCATGCCGCAGGGAGCCTTGCGAGGTGCTGGTCCCACAGGCGCCCGCTGGGCCGGGCCTGAGCCACCTGCGGCGACCCTGGCCCTGCCACTGGGCGTGGGGACTGGCGTGCAGCACCACGTAGCCTCGGCGTCCATGTGTGTCATCTGCTTCGTAAAAGCGCTAGTGCACGTGTTCAAGATCTACCTGACCGCCAGCTACACCTACAACTTCCGCGACTGGCCGGTGGACTTCCGCTGGGATGATGTGCGCGCAGCGGGAGGGGGCGGTAGCGGACACCGAGCACTGACATGCGCGGCGGCTGCGGCGGGCGTGTGGTTGCTGCAGGACTCGGCGCTGGGCGAGGACATACCCGGGCGCCCGCCGCGTGTCGCACGCAGCCAGGCGCAGTGCCTTCTGCAGCAGATCCGCGAGCTGCCAGGCCAGCTCGCCAGCTACGCGCTAGCCCACTCGCTCGGCCGCTGGCTGGTCTACCCCGGCTCCATGTCCCTGATGACGCGTGCGCTCCTTCCGCTGTTGCAGCAAGGCCAGGCGCGCCTCGTGGAACGCTACCAAGGCCGGCGCGCAAAGTTGGTGGCCTGTGATGGCAACGAGATCGACACCATGTTCATGGACCGCCGTCAAAACCCTGGCAGCGATGAGCGCGGACTGCACCTCGTTATCTGCTGCGAAGGCAACGCCGGCTTCTACGAGATGGGCTGTTTGTCGGCGCCTCTCGAGGCTGGCTACTCTGTCCTGGGTTGGAACCACCCGGGTTTTGGAGGCAGCACGGGCTTGCCGTTTCCGCAGCACGACGCTAACGCCATGGATGTGGTCGTCAAATACGCTCTGCACCGCCTGCACTTCCCGCCCGCACATGTGGTGGTTTACGGCTGGTCCATCGGGGGCTTCACGGCCACCTGGGCCACCATGATGTACCCCGAGCTGGGCGCTCTGGTGCTCGATGCTACTTTCGACGACTTGGTGCCACTGGCGCTGAAGGTCATGCCCCACAGCTGGAAGGGGCTAGTGGTGCGCACCGTGCGCGAGCACTTCAACCTCAACGTGGCGGAGCAGCTGTGCCGCTACCCCGGTCCGGTGCTGCTCCTTCGGCGCACGCAGGACGATGTGGTCAACACCTCGAGTTCCCTGCGCCCTCTGCCGCCCGGAGACGTGGAGGGCAACCGCGGCAACGAGCTGCTGCTGCGGCTGCTGCAGTACCGCTATCCGGCGGTGATGGTGCGCGAGGGCCGCGCGGTCGTGACCCGCTGGCTGCGCTCTAGCAGCCTGGATCAAGAAGCCGCCTTCTACGCGCGCTACCGCGTGGACGATGACTGGTGTCTGACTGTGCTGCGCTCCTACCGCGCGCGCTGTGAGGAGCAGCTGGAGGATGAGAAGGCCCGGAGCCCGCATGGGCTTGCCTTCCCCTGGATGGTGGGCCAAGGTTTGGGTACGCGGCGCCGCCGGCAGCTCGCACTGTTCCTGGCTCGCAGGCACCTCAAGAACGTGGAGACGACTCACTGCAGTCCGCTGGAGCCGCAGGACTTTGAGCTACCGTGGACGCTGTAGTTCACTTTCCCTTGCAGCTTCCGTGTTTGTGTACTCGCTCCCCTTTTATAAAGCTGCCCTGCCTAGAAATCTAGGCAGTATTTCCCTCAGGCGTGAGGTATCTGGAGTGGGACGAGTCTTCTACATTTTATCCTCCCATTTGCTGCCTCCCATCCTCACACAAACACTTTTGGATGTCCCAGTTTGCGCCCCGCACCTAAAGGTCCTGCAAAACTTAATCTGACCTAGTTTGTGGCAATGCTGTGCTTTGATAACTGCAAAAAGACAGTGGGAACTTGCCTTGGTCACAGGGATTTAAATTCTGGGGACATGCTACCGCCATGTTAATGTGTGCAGGCTTTCCCCTGAACCTCAGGTAGGTCTCTGCAGGCCCTGCTTGGAATGTTAGGACCCTCTTTCCACCCCACACACACTCCTGGCATCTGTGAGAGGAGTTTGAGGCTGTACCTCAGACCTGGAGTTAACAGGTGCACACAGTGACATGGCCACACAAGTCTGCAGATGCACCTGCAGTGACCAGTGCACACATGAGACAAGGCTTCTGCTTGACACCATCTGGCTTTAGTCAACTGTCTGCCCTAGACTTCTGGAGCAGTCACTGTCCATGTTGTCCTAGCTCTTGGATCAATTTCTTGCTGAGCAAGAATTTCTGGGGTCAGAGAATCTGAAGTGACCAGTGAAGTAGGCATAGAACTGGCAGCACTAGAGCATGGGCGAGGAGGAAGCTCTGGTGGCCTAGATACAGTGCTGACTCAAAAACCATGCCTCTCTGGCAGCTCAAATCCACCTGTGGCTCCTTGGGAGAAAGGCAATCTTCTGTGTGGTTTACAGCCTCAGAAACCCAATGAGAGTTCATCTATTAATCAGTTCACACTCAATGGCAATGAAAGAGCAAGGAGCAATGAGAGCAGAGAGACCTAGAGGCCAAGCAGACATGGCTAGAGCCATGGTAGAGCCTAAAGGTAGGCCCTAGTTCTTAGAACAAGATCTTAAATTGTCTGCGTACCACTTAAGAAACCTCTTAGGTGCAGGTGGGAAGTAAGGGGAGATGATGGCTCATTTTAGCTAAGTGAGTTGTCATGAGCTTCTCTCCTTGCAGTCTGTGCTGGAAGCCCCTGGACCAGCTTTGTGACTTTGCACAAATTACATGAACTTTCCCTAGCCTTAATTTGCTCATATGTAAAGTGGGGCAAGCCCGTGGTCTAGCTCACAGGACTGCCATGAATGAGAAATTGCCAGCATCAAGGTGACCTGGCACAGGGCTGGGCTTCCAGAGAAGAGCTTTCCTGCAGGGTGCCTATGCACAGGGGATTTCAGTGGCCCTATAATCAGTGTCCGAGTGTGGGTCTGGCGGGGACTTGAGGACTTGAGACGCCAAGACTCTCTAGCAGGTCTGGGACCGTGGTGGTCTTTTTCTGTGCAAGCCCTGCACAGAACAGTGTTAGTTGCTGTTAAAGGGATTTTGACTGAGAGTAACCCCACGTGTGTGGAGAGTAGAATCGCTCAAGGAGCTTTTCCCGGTTGTACTCCTTGCAAACAAGAGTGCCAGGCCTATCTTCCGAGGCGCCTTTCAGGAGTTCTAGCTGGGTTAGTAGTGAGCACTTAACTGTCTGCATGACAGGCAGCAGCCCCTCCCCCCCACTCCGCATCAGGAGCCCCCCAGACCTAGCCCTGAAATTCTGCAGTGCTATCTTGGAGGGTCCTCCCACTTCCCACTGGTCCGGCTTCTGCCGTTCTGCCGGCGAGACGAGCTGGTGGAGTGGCCTGAGGTTTTCCTTGCGAACCTGGTCTCTCTTTCCTGCTACATACACACCCTCAGCCTATGAGATTGGAGCACTGAGCAGAGACTAGGTCGCACCGCGCCCTGATTGAATACTGCCTGAAGGGGCGGGGCCAGGGCGGGCACGTGCCGAGGCGGAAGTAGATCGGCGCGTCTCTAATTGCGTCACGCCGCGGCGGCCGAGGAGGTTCCGGTGGCCGCCGTGGACGCGGCGAGTGGCTCTCGGTGCCGACTGCCTGCGTCTCGCGCTCGCGACCCTGACCCCCGACGCCTGCTGCAGCCCGGCTGCCGCCTGGACATGGACCCCGCCGGCCAAGGTACCTGCCGGGTCCGGCTCCTCGGCCACAGAAGGGCCTGGTGGCCTCGCCCTCTGCCCCTCTCGGGACTGGGTTTCGGACTCCTTGTCCCTTCAGCTCCTGCTGGTCTGACCTGACCGGCAGCGGTCCCTCTTCAGCTCTGAGGCCTCTGTCCTTGGAGATCTCGCCTTCCCGACTTCAGCACTGCCCACCTCCCTTGGATCCGCTCGGAGAGCTTGATCCCCAGCGGCCTCTGCTCCCTACTGGAGGTTCTGTCTGCGCTGGCCACTCACCCCCAGGTGTCCCTTTGCTCGCTCTGCCGCCCGCCATCCCAGCGCAGGGGCCTCCGGGACACTCCATCTGGCTCTGGCCCAGTTGCTGCGGGCGGCTCCTGAAATTGAGGGTTGAAGTCGTCTTCGCGTTCTGCGTCCCTTGGGTGGCAACGCGGCTGGGGCCGCCTCGGGAGCTGCCACGTGGGAAGAAGGGCAGAGGGAGTCGGGGCCGCGGGCAGCACACCAGGCGGGTTTCCAGACCAGTTAGAGGTGGTTGCCTGGGCCACGGAGCAGACCCAGGAGAATAAAATCTCAAGAAGAAAATGATAGGCGCTCCAGAGAGGATGCTGGACTCTTGGGCTGTGGCAGTTGCAAGCTGATCAGGATACCTGTTGGCCCTGTCTCAGCATGTCACTCAGGCGATAGGACTCTGAATTTCAGTCCATTGTGGAGATTCTTCTGTTTGGATAGCTACTTGGGAAGTAAGTGAGCCTCCGAAATGCAGGGGTCTGGTGAGGTCAGGTGTTTTCGTGAAGCGGTGGATTCACAAGACAACTCCCAGCTATGCTTCCTTAAGGTTCGAGGGTTCTGAGTCTGTGTCTTGAGAAACTTAGAAACACGTTTTTGAACGCTTCCTGTATGCCAGGTCTCTGCTCTTGGCTGCTAACGTGAAGGTTGTGGTCCAGATCTACCAAACAAGGCCTGGCGAGCCGCCCTCACTGAGACCGCAGGGAGGAGAGCCCTGTGGGGCCAGCTGACTGTAACACGAGCAGTTGTGCGAGTTGGGATCCGCTCAGTGGCTGTGGGTGGTTTTTGTTTAACGTTTCTCTGTTGCTGCCAGGTCCATTTCTCAAATGGCCTTTTTCTGTTTCCAGGAAAGCTTTTTTTTTTTTTTAAATCTTTTTTTTAAATTTTTTTTATTATTATGTGTGTGTGTGTGTGTGTGTGTACGTGTACCGTCAAATCGGATCTGACAGGTACAGGAGGAGATTGTCCCTCCTTTTCCCGGCAGAGCATCTGGTGGATTTGAACCGTGCACCTCTGGGATTGCAGTGCAGTTTCTTGCCACTAGGCCACCAGAGCTCCCCTTCCAGGAAAGCTTTTGAGATCGGTCACCTCCTTTAGAGATGAGCGTGTGAACTCAGAAAGCTTCATTTGGCCTGAAGGGCTCTAGTCCTCTGGTTTTGCCTAGGACGCTGGCCTCACACATACTCTCTGGAGGGCCAATGGGAGGACAGTTTTGTGCCCTCCACCTGCTTGATGACTGAAGAGTAGAGGTATCTGTCTTAGGGTATGGTGGCAGAGAAGTTCTGCAATGCCCCAGACATCTTTGCCTAATACAGTTTCTGTCTGGAGATGGTCTCTGTGGGATCCAGTTTTAGCTTTCTAGTTATGAAACTGTTCAAGGGCCTTTGTAACATTTTTAAACCACATGAAGATTGTGGTGATTTCAAGGTATGTACTGAACTTAAGTCAGTTCAACATAGTGGATGCTAAGTTGATTGAAATTGAAGATCAGGTGAGCAGGTAGAAAATCAGATGTGGGACCAGGCACTGAGTGTAGCTCCAGCTGTGTGGAGGATGTAAGGCATTCTGACATAGGACAGCATTACATTTAGGTGAAATTCATTTTCCACCCAGAACCAAACCTTGTGTTGCTGAGTCTGTTCTAATGCGTGCCCACCATCCAGCTTTCAGCGCTGTAAATCTTTACAGGTGGAAACTGCCCATCTTTCTGTGTTGGAGCAGCTGCGCAATTTCAAACTGCTGGCCTTGCAGTTAGCAGACCAACATGCTATGTACTATGTCCCTGCCCACCACCCTCCATTATTGTTGTATACCTGACCCTCTACAAGGTTTTCAGAGGCAGTGAATTGCTTCCCACAGAGCCCCCAGCACTGGTTCTTACCATTAGATCATCAGAGCTGGAGCCTGCCTCAGCTGTAGTGGATTTGGAATGACCTCATAACCGACCCTCTAGCAGCCCCCCCCTTTGTATTTGCTTTTTTGTATTTCATAGATAATGTATTTTTTCCAAATTAAAAGATTTGTTTCAACCCTGACTCAATCAAACCCCCTATCAGTGCCATTTTTCCAACAGTGTGTGTTTACTTCAGGTCTCTATGTCACATTTTGGTAATTCACACAGTATTTCAGACTTTTTTTATAGTACTACGATCGCAGATTTTATAGATGTCAGTAGAGTGTAAATACAAATTTCCTATGCACTGGGAAACAAACAAACAAACAATTAATTTACTTTACTGGCTATGTACTTTATTATAGTGGTCTGGAACAGAACTTTTATCTCCTGTACTGTCTAGAGAATGAATCCTTTTTCCTGTCCCCCGCCAGTAACCACCAGTGAATGTAGGTTTCTGTATATATAGCTATTTTCTAGGAGCTTTGCAGAGGCTGTAAATCACAGAAGAGATTACCAGGTCTCCTTTCATTTTCCACAAAACCTAGGATTTCTCCAGTAGATAAACATATTTTCGTTAAGAACATTTTTACTTTATTATCTTTTGTGTGTATACGGTCAAATCAGATTTGACTGGTGCAGGAGGAGATTGCCCCTCCTCCAGCAGAGCATCTGGTGGATTTGAATCACAGGACGTTTTTACTTTTAAAACAAATGGTGCTAAACTGGTGGCAGGATGTGCTGATCAAAAAGGCTGATGTGTTTAGTGCTCATTGGTGACAAGTGCTGACCAGTCCTTGTTTGGAACAGGCTGGTCTTTGTGGGGCAGTGTGTGCTGATTTGTAGATGGTTTGATTTGAAGGAGAGTGAGTGCAAGAATAAACTGTAACCTGTACTGTCTCAGTTGTGTGTCCAGAGAGTGCTAGGAGGACTGAGGGGACTTTGTTTTGCTGACCCTGTCCAGGGGCTGGTCAACTGGCCCAGGTTTTTTGCATGCTGTTTTCATGGGAGTCCTGCAGTGCTGCGTGGAAGGCAGGCCTCTTCTCTCCACACACTTGGCTGCTTGTTTGTAACGAGGGTTTCCTGCCTCAGAAAACCATATCCCCACAGGGAGACCAGAGTTAAGGTAGCTGCCTGCACCAGCTTCCCTAGTGCCCAGGAGTGGCTTGAGTTTGTGTTGTAGTGACCTTCCAAGAGCCTTACACAAAAGACATCTTTGTGGGTCTAGGCAGTCAGTCCTGGCCACCCCGGCTTCCACCTTGGCTTTCTTCCTTGAGAGACTCTTTCCCTGGCTGCTCCAGACAACTTCCAGCAGGGCTCTCTGACCTTGTTTTGTCTCCAGCAGATATCAATCTTAACTCTCCTCACAAAGGCCTGCTTTCCGACTCCATGATGGATGTACCTGTGGATACCGGTGGGGCTGTTCGCACTCCGGCTTCCGAGGGCCTGACGGAGGTGGAGGAGGAGGAGCTCAGGGCTGAGCTTGCCAAGGTGATGGGACGATGCCCTTGGGGATTCCTGAGGGGCTGTGTCCTGTGATCCGCACCCTTCTCGGTGCTGCCACAGAAACCACCTTCTGCAGCCTCTGCTTGTGAATCTGCCCTGCTCCCTGTGTCCCACCCTGTGCTGGCAGGCAAAGCTGCTACCCACCCTCTGCTGGAAGCTGCTTTGAGCACTGCCCTCTACCAGGACCCCAGAAAATGTTGGGCGCTGCCTTCCCAGCACCCCAACTTTGTTTCTAAAGATCCCGTTGTTTTAAAAGATGTGTTTTAGAAACAGCTTCCATTAATCTCTAAGCAAGAATCCATTGAGAAGAAAATTGCAACTGAGAGCAGGAACCTCTGGCCATATTTTATCAAGCCAGGATATGACCCTGTTTCTCTTCATCATGTCATGGGGTTTAATGCCGTGGCTCACTTAAGCCCCAGACCCCAGCGAACAGGATACTTGCCAGGCATGGGCTTGGCTCCAACTTTGTATTCTTCATGTGCTCTGGACCCCATCCTGGGTCTGAACAAACTGTGTCCTGCAGTCAGCCTCAGCCCAGCACTGGGTTTCAATCCCTGTAGGAAATTACACAGTGATTCCTACATCAGAGAAAGTTAAGGAGAAGTAGCAGCATGTCCCAGGTGAGGAAGGGTTGGGTGGGCTTGCAGAACATGTGGGATTAGAAATGGAGACCACAGGTCTCTCAGGTTGAACTCCCAGGGGAAGATAGTCTGTTGCCACTTACAGCCATCCAAGATAGACTCCAGAAAGCCCTTCAGCCTGAAGGCTGAGTGCCATGGCCACTGGTGGAGGCCGCAGGAGGGAGAGTGATCCCTGATTTTCTAAAGCAAGGCTCAGTAAGCCCCGAGCTGTGTGTGGTGCCTCACTGCACGTGCTGTGTCTAGAAAGTGTACCTTCTAAGGTAGGTGCTGCTGCAGGCACTGAGGGACGATGCCCTTGCCAAAGTTAGGACATTTTGAGACACGAGGAAACGCAAGTCTGTTGTCCGATCCATGAAACACGAAAACGTACCTGGGGCCTGTGTTACTGCCACACACTGGGCTGACCTGGGGACATAGCTGTGCTGGGCTGGCTCTATTTCGCCACCCATAAGTCTGTCAGAGTTGCCTCTCTGTCCACATAAGAAGCTCCCTCAGGGCTGCTGGTGAGCTTGGCTGCTGGCACATCCACACTTTCCTTGCTCAGGCCCAGAGGTCTGGGGGCTTCTCTCAGTGTGCTGTCAACTGGGGATGACTTCACTTGGCAGATGCTTGTTGGGTGATCCTTGTATCCATGGTGTGCACTGATGCCCAGTCCGGAGACTGCCTGACTTGGGATGAGCAGTCCTCAGGGGAAGTTGGAGTGCCGGGGCTGGATGTCTTTTGTGGAGCTCTGTCTGCGATCATGGACTGCGATGGTACTGGCTGATCATGTAGCTCATGCTTTTCCAGGTGGAAGAGGAAATCATCACCCTGCGCCAGGTCCTAGCTGCCAAGGAGAGGCACTCTGGGGAGCTCAGGAGGAAGCTGGGCCTCTCCACCTTGGATGGGCTGCGGCAGAATCTCTCACGGAGCTGGCAGGACGTGCAGGGCTCCAGCGCGTGGGTACCCACCCCTGGGTGGGGGGGCGGGGGACAGAACCGTGTGGCGGGGTAGGGGGGTGGTGTGGGGTGCATGGCTATAGCTCAGGGCTCAGGGATTTATAGAAATTGTCTTACCTGCCCTGTGGGTGGAAACTGGCTAGAATGTACTTGATGGGGCCCTGTAACCTTGAGTCCTATGAATTGGGTCTGCTGAGTGTCCTGGGTCCCTTTCCCAGACCCACTGGCCCAGCCTGAGACCCTGCCTCTGGCTGTGGCTCTTTGAGTACCCCTCAGGTGTCCAGGAGGGGAGACTGAGGGGCGATGCTCTGCCTGGAGACAGCTAGGCTCTTCCACCTGGACTCCAAGCACAGGGCAGGCACTCTTGAGGCAGCTGGCGGACCTCAGGTTAGCCCTTGGGCAGCAGCTCAGGAACCTAAGGTCAGTTTATCACCACAGGTTTTCTGTTTTTAGCTACATGAGAACTTCTGAGAAACTTGGAGAGTGGAATGAAAAAGTGACCCAGTCCGACCTGTGAGTGTCTATGAGCTGTCGAGCTGTCAGCATCATTCCTCCTCTGCCACCTTCTCCCCCTCCCTCCACTTCCTCCTCCCTGCCCTCCACTTCCTCTGCACCTCCTTTTGCCCCTGTTCCTGCCTCATCTCCTTCTCCCTTTCCTCTCTCCTCCCTCCTTCTCTCCCCTCCTCCTCTCTCCCTCTCTTCTTCCTTTTCCCTCCCCTCCTCCTCTCCCTCGCCCTCCTCCCTTCCCTCCTCCTACTCTTCCACCCTCCCCTCCTCCTCTTCCCTCTCTTCCCACCTCCTCTCTCCCCTTTTCCCTTTCCATCTTACCTCCCTTCCTCTACCCTTTCCACCTCTTTCTTCCTCACTCCCCCCTCAACCCTCTGCACCTCCTCTCACCCCTCTTCTTCCCTCTCTCCTCCCTCCTTTTCCCCTTCCCTCCCTCCCCTTGTCCACCCTTTCCACCTCCTCTCTCCCCTCTCTTCCTCTTCTCCTCTCCTTCCTCCCCTCCTCCCTCCCCCTCCTCTTCCCTTTTCACCCCCTCCCTTCCCTCCTCCTCTCTCCCTTCTTCTCTCTTTCCATCTCTCCCCTCCCCCTCCTCCAGCCTTTCGACCTACTCCCTCCCTCCCCTCCTATCCCTTCCTTCCTCCTCACTTACCACCTCCTCCCTCCTTCCCGCTCCCCTCTTCTTCCCTTCCCTCCTCTTCCCCCTGCTCCTTCCCTTCCCCTCCTCCTCTGCCCCCTCTTCCCTCCTCTCCCCTTCCACCTCCTCCTTCCCTCTTTCCTCCCCTTCTCTTCCCCCTCCTCCTCCCTCCTTCCGCCCTTCCTCTTCCCTTTCCCCCTCCTCCTTCCTCTTCCCTTCCCCCTACTTCTTCCCTCCTCCCTTCTCTTCCTCCCTTCCTCTCGTTCTTCTGCTGTCACCTCCTCCTCCCCCTCCTCCACCACCCCTCCTCCTAGTCCTCTACCTTCTACCCCTTCCCCTCCTCCTGCCACCTCCTCCTTTCTCTCCTCCTCTCTCATCGACTCCTCCCTCCTCTCCCTGTCCTTGTACTTCCACCACCTCCTCCTGCCCTTTCTCCTGCTACCTCTTCCATCCCCTCCTTCTCTGCCCCTCCTCTCAGTCCTCCACTTCTGCCCCTTTTCCTCCTCCTCCTCCTTCCCCTCCTACTCCTGCCACCTTTCCCCACCCTGTTCCTCCTACCCCTTCCCTTCCTCTTCCCTCTCTCCTTTCCTTCCTCCCTTTTCTCCCTTTCCTCCGTCTCTGCTCCTTCTTTTCATTCCTGCCTTCCCTCCCCCTCACTCTCTCTCCTCCTGTTCTCTCTGCTCCTTTCCTTCTTCCCCCTTCTCCCCTCCCTCCCTCCTTTATGCCTCCTATCCCTCCTCCTCCCTTTCCTCCTCTCCTCCTCTCTTGGTCTTCCTCCCAAACCTCTTTCCCCTCCCCATCCCACCCTCCTCTCACCATCTTCCCTCCATTCCACCATTCTTCTCCCTCTCACCTGCTGCCTCTCCTCTTTCAGTCCCTCACCTTGTTCTTGCCCCCATCCCCACTTCCATCCCTCCCGCCTCCCCATCCTCACCCTGTCCTGCCCCCATCCCCACTTCCATCCCTCCCTTTTCCCTTATTCTCACCCTGTTTCTCCCTCCTCTCCGCCCTCACCCTCACCCTGCCCTGCCCCATCCCACACTCCATCCCTCCCTCTTCCGCCACCTTCACCCTGTCTCTACCCATCCCCCGTTCCCTTCTAACTCAATTTACTCTTGCTTTCTTCTTGCCCTTTTTACTCTTCCTCTTTCCCTTTTCCTTCTTGCCTCTTCCTCTGTCAGCCCTCCTCTTCCTCCTTCTCCTGCTGCCTTTCTCCCATCTTTCTACCCTTCTTCCCACCCCCGCTCCCCGCCTCCTCCCCTTCCCCTTCTGAGCCCCCCTTGCTCCTTTTCCTAATCTACCTACCCAGGTGGCAGCAGGGAGGGTGTGTGCTTGATAATGGAGTTTCTGTGATTAGTGTGTCTCTCTTTAGTCTGGCTGTTTTTTCTCCTCAAATACAGGCTGTGCTTTGCTTCTTACTCTTGCTGAACCAGGTGAAGTGGAAGGGAAGGGACTCTGCGGGACAGAGGGGGTGCAGCAGGAGGGAGGACTCCGTGGGACAGAGGGGGTGCAGCAGGAGGGATGATTTTGGGGATCAGGGTGTAGAGGAAAGGATGAATACATGGGGTGGCCAGGCTAGTGTGGGAGACAAGGGCACAGTGGGTCGGGAGGGAGAGTTGGGGACAATCAGGTTACACTGGGAAGGATGGTAAGGACTGGGATGCAGTAGGAGGATCAGGGTACGATGAAAAGATGGGTCAGCCTTAGAACACTCTTCTGTGTGAGCTGTGACCTCTCTGAGCTACTGTGCTCGTTGACGGCACACTGGGGGCTCAAGGAACATGTGTTGCTTGAAGTTCTGGGCTTTTAACTGGATAAAATGGCAATGGCCCAGCATCATTGAACCCGATCCTGTTTGTGGTGGCAGTGTGATACCACTTGGCGTGATTGGTCTTACATGTATTCTGTTAAGTCCACAGAGTGTCACTTTGTTTCTGGTTCTGGATGAGGAAGCTCGTTGTAGGGTGGTCCAGCTGTGAGCCATGCAGGCCACTTTGACTGAGCATGTTGTGAGAGGGGGCTCAGGGACTCCTCCATGTGAAGACCCGAGATTGCCTGTAGTCTGGTCACAGTCTGGTGAGCCCGTGGTGTGTGTGGTGATTGTTAGGGTGGAGAGCACGGACAGGCAGTCCAGGAGAGAGTGTAAGAGGAGAGTACCCAGTGGTGGATGAGCAGGGGTGTGAGTGGGCTCCCAGGCCCCAGGGTTGAGCTGCCGAGAGCTGTATGCCGTCACCATTCTGTGCTCTCTCCCCTCTGCTGCCCCGTTGTTTCAGAGTTCTGAGTGGGCAGTGATGACACAGGGACCATCTGGCCTGGAGGAGGGACTCTGGGGAGAGCACAGAACACACCATGCCTTGGAGCCCTCTGGAACGAGGTGATCTGTGAGCGTTGCTATGGCTGCAGCTGGGGTGACCCTGTGTGCTCCTGTCCTGGATGGCCATGGTCTGGGCTGTACTCTGTACATGGCTGGGTCAGTGTCCTGAGCCCCAGAGGGAGACTTTAAGACTCACAGAAACCCAAAGGCAGTTTTCATGTTTACAGTTTCTCTCCTTTTCTGGGCCACAGGCTTCAGGTCTCTCACCAGGTTTCTGAACTTTTTGGATGCTGAGACAGAATCGATGTTTTTATGGTGTTTGCAAATTTTCAATCTGTCTTGTAGGCAGATACGATGTATGTTTGAACCCAGGCCTCTTGGGGCCCAGGGAAACATGAGGGTACGTTCTGCAGTGTCTCATCCTCAGAGCAGAGCAGGTAGACACAACTAGAAGCTGCTGGGAATCTCCCATCTCATATCTAGTGTGGTATAACCCCTCTGAATCAAGGAGTATGTAGGACCACTTGAGCTGGGAGCTCCTTGGGGAGGTGGTTACACTAGAACTAGAGGTGGTTGATGCGTGGACCAGGCTGGGCTCACGGTCCGGCCTCAGGATCCTGTTTGCATACATGCCTAGTGTGTTAGTTCTCTGCATTGTGAGGGGCTGCTGAGGACCATCCACCCCTCCAAGACCAGTGGACCTCAGGCTGCTGCTTTCCGTGAAGGAGAAGCAGTGCCAGACAAGGGAGCTGTGCAGACACACAGCTGAGCAGTGTGATGGGAGAGCAGGATGTCCTCCCGAAAGTCACCGGGGATGCATGCTCCGTGACACACCTGGCCATCCCGTCTGTGCTGTGGGCCGAGCAGCTGGCAGCTCTCAGGCTGTGGGCCGTCTTTCCCTTCTGCTTGATGAACTCATGTTGTTTCCGCTCAGCTACAAGAAGACTCAGGAGACACTGTCACAGGCAGGACAGAAGACATCAGCTGCCCTGTCCACTGTGGGCTCTGCCATCAGCCGGAAGCTTGGTGACATGAGGTGAGATGCCTGGCTGCTCTACTCTGCTTTGGGGTCCTGTCTTTTGAGGCTTCAAGGGAGCCTACCACCCTGCTGTAATCATACCAGCTCTGTCTCAGCCCCTTTGTGTCTGTCACCTGCTCTCCCTCATCCAGAGTTGTTGGTGATTTCTCTCAATGCTGAAGACCACTTACAATTGGTAAAGGTGGCCATCTGTGGGCAGTCCAGCTGGGAACCAGGGGAGTGGGTCTTTGGTCTGGCTCCCACTCCTCGGCTACCTTGGCACTCTCTCCCCTCCAGGTGGACCCCATTTGGAACTTTCGGAGCTGGTGTTTGCCACTGTGTCTGAGGACTGGCTGATGGTCCCAGGCACCTGGATGGGGTCATGGGGCCAGGCTCAGTCAGCGAAGTCTTGGCTGTTAGTGCAGTTCCTATGAACATAGTGTTGCCTCAATGGGTGCGATGCTGGTGGCAGGCTGTACTCTAGGCGCCTGTGCTGGCCTCTGATCTGCATGCGGTGAGCTAGTGACTACCACTGACGATGGCCATGGTGGCATGGCCATGCTTAGGGCAGGTAGCATTCTCTTCCTCCAGCTATTGGACGGGGAGTATAGCTTCTGGACGAGCTCCCTCAAGGGAATGTGGCTGCTGGGGCACCTGAACTCCATTCTCCACCGGAGCCTTCTCGTTACTTAGATTCAGTCAGCTGATAGCTCTCCACTTTGCCAGCACATTGGAGGCTCAGGCAGAGGGTGAGCTTGGTCTTTGAGCTCTGGCAGTGAGAAAGCTCTGCTTGGCGGAAACAGACTGGTTTCTAGAATGAGCAGGGTCCCACTTGCTCATCTACTGCACTCTCCAACGTTGCAGTGGGTGTGGTCTGTCCCTTGTGTGCAGCTTCCGTCCATGTGGGGGATGTTTGTGCATGGACCACAGGGAGAGTCTGAGTCCTCCGCACTGTGAGCTGCCCGGCACGCTCTGGCCAACCTTGTGAACACATGGATCCCTTGTGGTTCTCACCGTCTGGTGAGGTGGCCATGGTGGCTGTCTGAGGTCCAGGTCTGTCACCCTGCCCTGTCAGAGCTCTGCTTCCTGAGATGAAGCATAGTTCTATAGTGTTCCACACTTCTTTGCTGAGAGTCGCATCTGGAGCCCTTGGGTAGTGTTTACAGCTCCAAGTGGAGAAGAATGAGCCAGTGGTAGCTGGTTTGTATAGTCACTGTCTAACTGAGATCAGGGGCATCACTCTACTTTGGGGTCCTGCTTTCCACCTGAGAGCTGTGTGGTGTGTCAGTTGGTACTTGTGCATCAGATCCTACAGACCTGGGGTTCCCTGTGTGTCTGCACAGAAGTGGTGGTGACAGCCAGGATTGGTCCGGGCTGGTGATTTACCCCAGGGCCTGGGTGCCTTTGGTGACCGATTAGGGTCCACCCCAGGGACCTTCTCAGAGCCTGTGCTCTCAGGTGGTGGATCTATGGGTGTATTGAGATATCAGACAATCAGGAACTGAGGTTTTCTCCAGCAGCATCGAGGTCAGACCTTCAGGTGGCCGTGAGGCTAGGCTCTGTGACCTGATGCATGTGACAGCTAGGCTGTGCAGTGGCTGCATTGCAGGGTCCAGGGAGCTAACGGAAACTGGGGGATTGTATTGGAGCTTCCACCTGGGCTCTTTCCTGACTTGTGTTTCTCCTTTTTTTCTGCTGCCGGGGCTCAGGGCCCATCCCTTCTCTCACTCTTTTAGGTAAGACTGCACATTGTATGAACAGAGCCGGACTCCCTGGGTGGGCAGATAGAGTGATCAGACCCCTCAGATAGGTAGGCCCCTCAGATACATAGGCTGGGTGTCCGTGTCTGTCAGCCGTCAGCCATCTAGCACCTCTGGTGCTTGGCTGACCATGGTAGCTTTGCATGCCCACCTCACTGCATGTGGAAGTGCCTTGTGCCATGTCTGTCTCTCAGTCCTTAAGAGCTGTCCCACACCTGTCATCAGTGAGCTTGGGGCCTACAAGAGTGTCCCTGCAAAAGTAGCTGCAAAATCAAGTGAAGCCTCTTTGTGCCCCAAGCTACCTCAGTGCAGCCTCTCTGGCCAAGGTAGGACAGGGTTTCCCTGATTCTTGGCCCCCTTGAGATGCACCACTTCTGAGCCAAGCCTCGTTGTGAGTTGCTGCTGGCTGTTGTCCCTGGAGTAGAGGGAGAAGAAAGAAGAAGGCCTTGATCTGATGGGACATTTCCCCCTGGCACGGTCCCTCAATATCTTCTTTGGTGGTGCCCAGGGAGTAGGGTCCTGCCCTCACCCCATTCCGCTAGGTTGAGGCTTAGTCCTGTGACTGTATTAACTCTCGCTTCCTTCTCTGCTTTCACCGTGCTTCCAAGCAGCAACTACTCCATCCGCCACTCCGTCAGTATGCCAGCCATGAGGTAATGTGTGCCCATCTTGCCACCTAGTCCAGCGCACAATTGTGGGTGGGCAGCTGTTGTCACACACCCAGAGTCAGGACCATGCACCCCTACAGCTGCCACTGGCAGGGGCTTGGGCTTGTCTCATCTAGCCTGAGGCAGACTTAGGACTGGGGTCTCCAGGGAAGACCTTCTGCTGGTCACAGCTGTGTGGTCATAGGCCTGCCGTGCACCCTGTGTGCAGTGGGCTCAGCTCTCAGGATCAGGTGTTCTCAGGGTCTTCACCTGAGAGACCCCATGGGCTGCTAAGGGATAGATACTTAGACTCGCAGGCACCTGTCTTCTCTGTCACAGACAATTCTAGAAAGAGCGCCTGTCCTCCTTACTGAGTCCCAGGAAATCTAGCTTGTTGGGGTGGGTGGCTGCCTCACTGGCCTGCTTTCTCTGTCCTAGCATCGTCCTTTATTGTGTGTGGAGAACACGTGGGACTTTGATAACCCAGAAACTAAAAACCCAGAGTATGTGTTCCGGGACAGGAGAGTTGTGCCCAGCTGCCTGCCCCTCCTGGTCTGTTTGGCTTTGCAGGTCTTTCCTGGGGACCTGACGTCACCAGTGGGAGAGCCACATGATGACGATGGAGTGCTGACCTCAGTGTCAGTGCAGGGATGCCTCTGTGCTGACCCTTTCAGCCTCTCCTGGGGGTCTTGTGGGCCCTGGTTTGGGTTTCATTTCTGCAGTGAGGTCTTGGGGTGCTGGAGGACGAGCCTGACTCTGGAGTCCTTGTGATGTTGAGGCTTGTGCAGCATGCTGTTTTTGAGGCACTGATGTCTCCTCCCCCTCACAGGAACTCTGCAACCTTCAAGTCGTTTGAAGATCGTGTTGGGACCATAAAGGTAATCCTGCTGTCATGGTTGTCTCGGTCTGGTGAAGAGGTGCAAGCTGTCACGTGAAATGGCTTGTGTTCTGATAATGAACACAGAGCCCCTGGCTTGTCTGACCATTTCTTCCAGTGATGGCCTCATCCATAGCGGTAGTACAGTCACTCTAGGATTCTGACACTGACATAGTCTAGACACAAGACACTGTACCCCACAAGGAGCCTCTACCCCCATTCCTGCCTCAGCCCCCAGCAGCCAGTGACCCAAAGTCACTGGAGGGCGTTGTGTGATGGGGATTTCCTTTCCTGATCCATGACGTCTAGAGATGGCCAAGTTGTCATTGTTCCCACAGTTCCTCTCTCTCCAGGTCACGGGCCCCTGTAGAGAGCTGGCACCCCATGGGCCCCTCACACAGCCTTGACCTGAGGCTTTTGTTTGCCGTGGTTGCTGCCTCAGGTATGTTTTCTCCTACTCTTCTTCCCTTTTAGTCTAAAGTCATCGGCGGCAGAGAGAATGGTGGGGACAACCTTCCTTCTCCGACAGGAAGCAGCGACAAGCCCCTGGCAGACCACGCCCCTTTCTAAACCCCAGCAGCTTTGCCCAGACATGAAAGATGTGCAAGCACCCCGAAGTCACAATTGTAACTGCGCAAAAGAATGCCCGCCAGCTCCAGTGGGAGAGGAACAGGCCCGCGAATACCTGCTTGATGCCAGTCAGCACGTGTCCTGGAGCACAGGCCTTTACACTCAAGTGTACAGATGGAATAATTACTGTACCATCCTTCCTGAGGGCAGGAAATGGACAAACAGAGGGTCCTTGGGGTTGTGAGCCAGCTCCCACACTCCCTCTTAAAATCTCCTCAGTGCATTAGGATGGGGAGAAGTGGGAAGAGCTGCTGATGTGGGGAAATGGCCTTTCCTGGCCTGTCCCCCAAGCCCAGAAGGCATGTGGTCACCCAAACCTAGGTGTTTGTTTGAGAATGCCGACCAACAAGAAGACTGTCCATTTTCTGAGATCCCAGGAAGGAGACTGACATCAGCGGCTTGATTATTACACTAACGGTCTAGCTTTAACAGAAGCAAATTTTTATTTTTTAAAACACAGTGGACTTTTTAAAAATTAAAACACAGCCAAGCAGCTTTAGCTTCTATTAGAGAATGTTAATTCTTTGGGCACAGCAGAAATACACGCCTTACCTTGTCTTTTGTTTTCTTGTTTTTAATCTTTGTGTCTTAAGAAAATAGGGGCTCCTGTGTAGTGTGAGACTCAGGTAGGGTTGAATCCCAGGAGCAGGGTCCATCTGCTGATTTGCTGGTTGTACTAACCATTCTCCCCAGGAGGGTGGCCATTCCTAGGCCCTTGGGGAAGGGCAGGAGACCACGAGTGCAGCCATGCTTCCTGAAAGTGGCCTGAGCTCTGAGGCAATATTTGGTGACACCAGGCCCACCTCTGTTTACTGCACACACAGGGTAGGAGAGAACAGAAGAATGTACCCTTTTGGGACAGGTTGGGGACAGTCATTGGGACCAGCTGAAACTTGTGCACCTTTTCTTAGGAGCTGTGTGCTGGCAATGTGTCTGCCAGTTGCCCTGCTGTTGTGTGGACACTAGTCCAGAGGGGCACCTGTGTCTGATCAGTTCCAGGTAGTGGTGTGGTGTTCTCTGGCATCACATGTTCTCCTGCAACCCTCCAGGGGCTGCACCCTGTATTTCTTTTTTTTTAATTTTTTTTATTTTGTGTGCGTGTACCGTCAAATCAGATCTGACTGGTACAGGAGGATATTGCGCCTCCTTCTCCGGCAGAGCATCTGGTGGATTCGAACCGTGTTCCTCTGGGAGTGCAGTGCAGCTTCTTGCCACTAGGCCACCAGAGCTCCCCTGCACCCTGTATTTCAGGACAGGCATATGGGGACATGGCGTCAGGACCTCCAGGTCTTTACTGTGGGCTGAAGTTGGATAGGACTAGATAGGTGTGGGATTAGAACACTGGTCACCTGTCAAGAAAAAGTCCTCTGGGGAAAACCTCTTTAGGGGGGGTGGGTG